TGCGACAGTCATTCCAGAGGTCAAGCTTTAGCACATATGATTTTAAGGCAAGAATATTACCAGTCCACGTTAAAAAAAGAAAGCAACGAACCTTGTTCCAAAATGCGAGAAATGTCAGATTTTTGCACCGAATATAACTCAACTCTAACAGCCCCTGATAAGTCAATTTTTAACCCTGACCATTTGCAATATCAAGAATAGATTTGATTGGACCCATGTCGACCGAATGATGGGATGTCAAATATGCAGTGGCTGCTGTTGACTACTTTACAAAGTGGGTGGAAGCCAAATCCTTAGCCTCGATCACTGAGAAGAAAATGATCGAATATTTATGGAAATCGATCGTGTGCCCATTTGGAATCCCATATTCAATATTCACCGATAACGGGAGACAATTTGAAGAAAAAAGACTTGAGTCTTTTTGCGAAGAACTCGGTATCAAGCATTATTTCTCCTACCCATATCATCCATAATTGAACAGACAAGTGAAGACCATAAATAAAATTATTAAGGAAGACATTAAAACCAAGCTCGAGTCCGCCAAAGGGGTCTTGCCTGAAAAACTTCCGAGCGAGTCGTGGTCCTATAAAATTACAACTCATTCATCCACATGAGAATCCCCATTCTCCCCAGCTTATGGGTCAGAAAACATGGTTCCTGTTGAGATCGGCTCCCCAACATATCGGGTCAAGAATTTTAAAGAATGAGCCAATTCGGAATCTTTGAGGGGGGGCCCATGGGGTCTCATTTGCCTCCGCGCCTGTGACCTCGTGTAGTGCGCCTATTTAGTGTCGCATTAATACCACCCGTTTGAATATCCATTTAATCCGACGATCAGTTTCGACTTGTCCTTCCAACTGCGTCTTTTGATCTTTACCATTAAATCCGGCCTCGATCCAACGATTGATGAGGCCAATCGAACCCTTGGCCTTCAGTCTCCCTTCACTATAAAATAAACATTTTTCGATTTCAAGAGGTTTTTTCACCTTCGCGAATAATTAATACTTGTTAAAACCATCAACAATAAACGTACTCACTTATAATTAAGTTGGAATTCATATTAACTGAAATGTTTATCTTTTCTCATCCAACTAGAAATAGTAAGTGCATGCTTGGGTACAAATTTTTCCAATATAATTCAATCATTTTTAGTCAATCATTTTTTCTAACTCAAATCTAACTCAACTCCACTACTCTAATATTATCAATACACTTAAATAATATCACCCAATTTTCTTTTACCCATTACTTCAATTTTTATTCATTATTTATCTACTCACATAATTTTAACTAATTTTATTTCTTCATATGATCTTTCTTCTATTTTACATCAAACTAACTTTAATTATTTTATTTTAAATAGTACTTTAAATACAAAAAGAGTAAAATACATTTTTCGTCCTGTATGTTTACCCCTCTAAACATTTTAGTCCTCTTCGAATTGCGTTTTTGATTTTCGTCCCGTATATTTGAAAAAGGTTACAGAAAGGTCCTTTTCGCAATAAAAAGGTCTTTTATGTTTTGCAATAAGGTGTTCCAATTTCATCCCTTATGTATGAAAAAGACCTTTTTGTAACCTTTTTTCAAACATACGGGACGAAAATAAAAAACGCAATTCGAAGAGGACTAAAATGTTTAGAGGGGTAAACATACAGGACGAAAAATGCATTTTACTCATACAAAAATATCAAAATTCCACTTAGTACTTTTTTTTTTCGAAATGATAGATTTTATAGAATAAAAAACGAATAATTACAACTAGACATCAGCTAGAATAAGCCAAGTGGCCTTCGAGCCGAATCTAGCGAGAGGACTACACACATAAGTGTATCCTAGAAATAGCCGCACTAACGCACCCACTAAACAAGCAACTAAACATTCCCACAAGGAGAAAATCAAACTTCTAAAGAGAAGAATCAAACTTCTAAAAAGAAGAATCACGCTCCTAAACAGAAGAATCGCACTCCAAGCAAGAAGAATCTAACAAAAACTAACAACACCCAAAACAACACAAACAAAATAAATACAAAATACTAGAGTAAACTCTTCCCCCAACTGATCACAAACTGCAACGCCACGAACACAACACCTGAAGACAACAGCCCACACGGATAGGAACCCAACCCGAACATAGCTCCAGAAACTCCAGAGCCGGCTAACTCGGCTAACTGAAACTACATCAGACGGCCAAAATCACCACCTGAACGGACCACACCAGTCCGGCAACCGGAGGCCAGCTCCTTCTCTTCCCTCACAACAAACTCGGACTGCGGCCACCAAGCACAACCCGACAAACACCACCTACCCGTAGCCAAAGCCACAACCTCCTGCCCACAGCCCGAACCTGGCCCGACTTCCCAACACCACGGGAGAACGGAAACGGGAAAAAAGATGACCTTACCTCGGCTCCAACCTGCTCCATGGAGACGATTAGAGCCTGCCGCTCGATCGCCCTCAGCGCCCGCCGAAGACTCCCTGGACATAGTCAACCTAAAGAGAGGCGAAACACTACATTGGAGAGGGTCAGTCGACGCTGTGAGAGACGAGTTGCACGGGTCGGAGACGGCCGGCGCCGCGGCGTCAAAGAGAGCTCAGAAGAGGGGAGGCGGCGTGAATTGACAATGAGGGTTTCTTTTTTATTTAGGGATTTTTCTCCTGCTCAGAAGAGGAGAGGCGGCGTAAATTCCACTTAGAACTAACCTATACAACTTTTGAAAATAAAAAAAGCCCAACAAAAAAATTCAAAATAAAATGGAAACATCTCATATCGAATCATGAAATGTCGGAAGGATCCTCAATTATGTATGCAATGACCTCATTCACTTAACTTTGGAAGAAATTAAGGTGAATCATATATACGTAGATAATGACGTCGCATAGTATTATTTAATCTTAATTTCTTAATTTCTGTATAAACATGCATAATTGGCTTTTTTTTTTTGGATACGCCAGTTATGAGTCAAATCTCATAATTGAAGGTGTTGAATTATTTGATACGTAAATGTCGGCACCTCCTTTTTTTTTTGCTAAATTAAAAATCTTCTTTTTTTTTNNNATAAATTTGTAAATAATAATAATAATAATAATAATAATAATAATAATAATAATAATAATATAAATCCTTTATTTCATCAACTAATTAGTAATCACCTTAAACATAAAAATAAAAATTAACCAATTTTTTTAATTATCATTAAACTAACAAAAGTCTCATGCACCTCCTTATGAAACACCTCGCCCGATTCAATTCCGTCTGCAAGCCTTGGCACCTCCGCCTTTTATTTTCGCCAGAATTCGCCAAATTATAGCATGCTTGTTAGAATATCACTTGTGAGTTGTCCCACATCGTTTATATAGAAAAAATAGACATAATTTATAAGTCTAATGGGCTACTCCTCCTTCCACCAATTAGTTTTGGGATGAAAACTCACTTGGACTTCATCTGAACTTTCTCTGTCTTGGTGCGCTTCACGTGCGTGGGATCGCAC